GCGCTTGCGCCCGGGCAATGTTAGTGCAAGGCAAAAGGGGGAGGGAATAGGCCCAGGGAGCAGGGAAGAAGCACCACATCGCATTCCGGTCCCGATTTCTCACAAAACCACCGTTGGATCGAGCTGATCCACTCGAATCCAGGTACCCCAACTTGCCTTCCCGGCCTCCGGGGGAGCGCCCGGAGCCGGAGCCGGCCTCCGTTTGGGGCTCGGTTTCCTACCAGTTGTGCGAAGCTTCGCGTATTTTTGTTTTGGAAACTTGAGCTATGAGCTTCTCAGGTTGATGTCCTGTTTGTTTTGGTGGATAGCCTGGGAAAAGGGGAAAGAACCAACTTGGTTTCCTTTTCCAGAAAAGAGCCCAAATAGGGGTCCTGTTCACTGGGGACTCAATCCAGCTGCGGATGGTGGTGCTGTTACAGTTTGAAAGGGCAATGTTTATGATGGCAATCCCCCAACAAACAGGGCTTGGTGCACAGGACCCTTGCCAAGAGGAGAACGGTTCCTTTTGGAGGCTGTGCATCATGCTTGTTTTGAGTGTACATACTTTCAATGGCGCCAGCGAATGTCAATGGCACCAGCGAATGAGCAATGGACACGATCGAGCAGTCAAATTGAAGCAAACAGATGCTGGTTGCTCACTTGCTGCAACTCCTTGGGCAATGCCCAGAACTTAGTTGACCAGCTTAGTTCCAGGGCAATCCTTGTTAGACACCTCATTGTCCAACATGTGTTGACATGCCTGTCAAAGTGGCAGTGCGTTTCCTCTTGGAGGTATGCCAGGCTTCGCCCAACAGAGGCTTCGGCAAAAACTTCAGACGCGACTGGGCCGTTCTTTGCTTCGACCTTTCGCCTTTAGCTTGCTAGAATTCTCAACAACTTTGCAGTAGAGACCAACCCATAGCTGACCTCCTTATAAACCAAGGGGTTCTTGTTTGTCTGGAATTCCAAGCAAGACCCTATTGGTGGGTGTGTCGGACTTTTTGGCCACCAGGTTGGCAAGCCAACAAAGGAACCCGACCCTCTGCAACCTCGTAAGATCGCACCATGGCACCTGGAGGTCAACAAAACATTGCCTTCCAGAGGGATATGGTGAGTAAAATTCGCGCCCGCATAGGTGGAACGTTGTTTGTTTGACCAGCGTCCCAGAAACACATGTGGCTCAGATAAGCAATCAAGTTGCCATTCATGCAACTCTGATCGATTTGCAGGCAATCATTGCATTTCTCCTACAGCATCTGGATTCTCAACGCCAAGCCACATGCGGCATAAATTTGATGTATGTTGGAATTCTGTCTCCATCCCGTGGTCAGCGTTGCTTGCGAATTCGTGCCAAGCGACATCTGCAAAGCCATGAGCAAGTCGAGGTACTGGCCCTTCAGGCGTTCCAGAATGGAGGTGTGCCGGAGTGCCGTGCTCAGAGACCTCGGAGAGCGAACGAGAGAGCGAGTGAGAGAGACAGAGAGGGAGAGACCAAGGCCGTTTGGAACTTCTGGTGTTTTTCTTTTTTCTCCAAGAAAACCCCTATTGAGGTTGGTTTGAAGAGAAACCAAAAGAAGAACAGGCACATACACAAATTTAATTGGCAGTTTACTGTTCGAGGGGACCCGCGTCGCAACCTCCGTCTCGAACAGTGAAACGGGCACTGCTGACAGCTGTTACCATGATCAAGCCACCAGCATCAGCAGCATTTCAAGTTTACTAGCGTTATTTGCACCATTTGCATCATTTGCATCATTTGCATCATCTGCATCATCTGCATCATTTGCCTCATTTGCATAATTGCATCATTTGCATCACTGGCATTGCCAGCATCGCCAGACGGCCTGCCAAAGCACAGAAAGAAAGTTAAATTGGGCTCTACGTTCAGCGCCACCAGCAGACTGTTGCGAATGGGCTTTTCAATTTCCACCATTTTCGACAAAGCCAACTGGAATGACCCCTCTTCTTTTGCAGCAAACATGAGGTTCTTTTAAAAATCATCTCTGCGTGTCTCAAAATAGGTGACCCTTTGCTGTAGCCCTTAGCTAACACCTTTGGGAGGTTTGTTTGGCGCTTGTCATTTCTGTTGGTTGAAAGGGAAACCAAAGGAGACCACCCATCTTCCAGGTCCATTTCCCCGATTTTGATACACGTCCATTGGTCAACTTGACCAAATCCCACGATCGATCAGGTCCTTCGGGTACACCGCAGGGCAGGGCTTCTTCCCGGCGCGGTCCTCAGGTTTTGGGGTCGGAAAAGTGAGGTGGAAGCGGATCAGGTTACCCTTGTAAAGTAAAGTATGTGGTTTACAAAACTCCGGAAGATCCTTTTGCTTGTGATTTTGCATTGGTTTCCAATACTTCTCCTTTTGGTGGTTATACACATCGCCTTTTGGTTGCCAATGTAAAGTGAGTTTCCTTTTGGTGTGATGCTTAGGGGGGAAATCCACGGAACCCTGTGGGAACCCCTGCCCACAAATGGTGGTTTGCATTGGTTTAGGGACTTGTGGGCAAATGCGAAACCACAGGCAGCTGGATCACTCTTGTGGGTGACACCCTGCCATTTCAAAGTTCCACCTTTTGGTCATCTAAAAGACGAAAACCCTCTCCCAAAGGGGGTACATGCGGATGGCGGATGCAGAAGATCCATAAAACCAAGCACTTGGGATGAAGCCCGATATAGGAATAGCATGTTCAAACCTCGTTGGACACATATTGAATTCCTTTCAAGTGGTTGGTGTCAGGGCAACAAACAGCCCTGGAGTGCGAGGAAACCCCTGCTGGGTCTCCAAGCACAAGCCAGTCACGTCTTCCTCCAAACACCAAGACGGTCCGGCTTATGATTTAGGGGAGCTGTGCAAAATTCCGGGCTTGGTTAGTTTGCCACTTGTGCCCAACAAGAGGACCTCCAATTCTTGGAGTTGAGCGGTTTGCCACATGCAAGCTGTTTTGCATGCGGGCCAGGCACCAGAAGCCAAGTCGCCGAGGTGATCTTTGGGCTCAACTGGCAGGGCGCGTCTTTGCTGGAACCGCAGCTTCCTCGGCGGTCGTTCCGCCCGAGCCGTGTCTTGTTTTGGGAGGCTTGGTAGTTTGAGAGCTAGAAGGATACCTTTGCCGTTTTTTTTTTCCCCGGTCCCCGAATTTTGAGACGAAGCCAAAGAGCAAGTGACAAGCAGGAAGATTTCCGAGCTTCTCAACAAGTTGGACGCCTTCAGGTGCCTGGAGTCCTTTTGGGGCTGCCCCAATGAGAGACACTTTGTGTACTCCACCGCCAGCCTGCGTAAAAAGTGTTTTATTCCAATTTCTCATATTTTATGGGGTTGCACGCACACTGTGTGGTTTGGAGGCGGAGACGTTTTCGCATCTTGCCATACGGCAGTTTGAGCCGACCTTTTGAACAATTGTTTCTCTGTCCAATCCACAAATCCAAGTCGGACCACTGAGTGTTTGGATTCTCCCGGTGTTGATAGGGTTTCATCCGTCCCAGCTCGTGCGACGCGGATGGTGTCCATCCACTCCACAGTAGTTTGGTCTATGTTTCCTTCTCATTTCCTGGTCTCTTGGGTAAGCTGGGCGCTCGACACCACTTGGAATCCTTGGCTTCCTTTTCCCTGGTAAAAGCGGGAAGGATCCTTACCAGATGTTGACATGCCATGTTGAACATGCAGGGGTAAGTCCTCAGGGCCTCCCCATAGGAGGTTTTGGTGCCTGAAGTCACAAGCTTTGAGGAAGTACGCAATGTGTTCCAAAGGCAAGACTTCTTGATCCTTCATTTCCGGTTTGAGAGTTGGGTTTGCTTTCTCATAGTCCTTGGTGCCCTTGCCCTGTTCCAGGAATCTCCTGAGGGCTTGTCTTCAAAAAAAGGATCCGCACTCAGAAACAAGCTGAGGCCACCGTCTTCCAAGTCCCTCTCCTACTCGCTGATAGGCCCGGGGCACAGGTCCCGGCGATTTGAGGCCGGCCTCAGCAGATTGGTTTGACTCACAAGTGGGGGGGGAGGCCGACTCATTGTGAAGCGACGCGTTTTGTTGGGGTCAAAAGCATGGACGCCCTTTGACCCCCCCCCCCCCCCGAAAGTGGGGCATGGTGGCCTCCTGCCCAATTCATGGCGGGCTTGCAGGTCAAAGCACCACGAACCTCCGCCATTTCTTGGGGACGAGGGTGACGGTGCCCAGGGCTCTCCTTCCTGTACTTCCTCGTCTTCCTGATGCTCTGAGGGTGCCCTCGCGCATCGGAAATTCTGGCAATCAGGCGCTATCGGGGAGGTGTCAGGGAAGAGGTGGTGGCTGATGTAGGCAAGAACGTGTACTTTTGTTGGGGAGCGAACTGGAGGCGAAAACATGGTTGGTCATGGCTCCCTGAAAAAAGCATTGCTCACGTCAGGACCCATGTCGCCAAAATGTTTTCAGTACCGCTTCTAACACAGTTCCAAAAAGCTTTCGTAAATGAAGGGAAGCCCTTTAGTATTTTCCTTCTATACTTAAGGCACATGGCCCGGCGTCGCCTGTCGCCTGTCGGCCTCCAGGCAGACGGCGGGTGGATGGATGGTGCGGGTGTGGGAGGCAAAAGGGGCGCGATGATTTTCCTCTGGAAACGAGGTGGAAGTTTTCGCGATGATTCTCTTTGGGTTTCGCGGTTGAGTTCGTTTTGGCGAGCGAGAACAGTCGCTGTTCATGCCTAGGCTTTCGGGACCCACCGCCAGCCTTGGCATTTCACAATCGCTCGCTGTCAGCTTCAGTCTACTGGAATTCGACACTGCCATGAGAAAGTCTTTGCGCCAGTCTCCCCGTTTCTGGGCCCCGTGATCACGGAATCCTGTCTTTGAGTGTTCCTGCTTCAGTGAGACTCCGACAGCCCCAACTCTTGTATCTTGTCAGAAGAGTTGAAGCTTTCTTGGTTGAGCCTTTCTCGTTGAACCTCGAACTTTTGTGTTGTTGAGCCTTCTTTTTCTGGTTCGATTTTTTTTCTCCTTTAAACTGTTTTTGGATGGGGAGCCATCTGGCAGACCAACCTTAAGCTTGAAACCAACGGGCTTCCGAGATGAGCGACGGAAGCCATGGACGACGCACTGCGTCGCCTGCTGCAAGGGACCAGCCTGCGGCTCAGGCGGGAGGGTATTGTGGGCACCGACTGAATCCGAATTCGTTTGGGATCTTTCTTGGTTTTCTTGTTGAATTTTAAGGTTCGCTAACTATGAGCCAGACAAATATATATATATATATATATATATACACACATATATATATATATATATCCATATACCCTTCCTCTTGGAGGGATGTTGGAGGGAGGGAGGGAGGGAGGGGGGGGGGAGGGAGGGAGGGAGAGTATATGTATACATATATATATATACATACCCGCATAGTTTTGGTGGGGCAAAAGCTTTGGCCTTTCCAACCCGCTGCGGCTCCAGCGGCGATTCGGCAGGGCTGGTAAACGTCAGTCGAAATCCAGGATGTAGCAGCACCAACAACCATACGAGAGCAAAGGTTAGACTTCCCCTCCGTCTGCCTTTGTGATACCACGAGGGCTAAGTTTATACTTCAACGGGAGGTTCTTCAGTATCTGGTATCACAGCACTCAAACTTGAAGATCTGCAGCCGTACCCAGTTTCACTTGGGTCGCGGTTCGGGGAAGCCCTCTTGGCCGCCGGCTCACGTGCCAGACCCGCCTGGCTGCAGCAGCAGGCGGTCGAGGGTGCGGATGCAACGAGCTCAGAACTACCCCAAATGGACCCCTGGTAAATGGAAACAAAAACTACAATCTGCAGTCTCCTGGTGGTTTAATTTTGACCCATACCCAGATTGGTCGAACAGTTTGTCTCGCGGCGTTCCCTGCACCGATAGCAGCGATGAGCAGCAACTCAGCTTCTAGTTCGCCTCAGCTTCTATGAGCAGGACACGATGGATGGATTGTCCATTGGCAGAAACCGCCAATTGGCCTTCGCCTGATCAACCGATGGGACAAGGGAGGGTTTGCTAAGGGTGCTTGCTGAATACAGCAAGCATCAAGATTCGGGCTCCTTGAATGCACAGCGAGTTATAGACACTGCCACAATGCCACAATGTTACTGGCATCAGCTTGACCTCGGCCCGAAGTAAATCTAAGCTGGCTCGGTTTCGCAAGTGCCTTCTTCCTGGTCAAGCTAGGTGTATCTCAGGCTCCTCTCAAAAATGAGGCAGCGCGTACGCCAGATTTCCCAGTCCACATGTCGCACAGAGACAAAGAGCATTGCATCACAGCTCAGAATGTTGAAATCAACCCGGGTTCCAACCGTTCAGTCTGGCAACGGGCAGGGGGGAACATGCTTCTCAGCCTTCCTTGTGCAATGTTTCTCCTCGATAAACATTATATGTGCTGTGCTGGACTTCTTGCGGGGCTGGCTGCGTCCTCCTTCCTCAGGGTATTGGGTGTTTCGGCTTTTTGTGTCCAACTTTCGAAAGCATCTCCGCCCAGGCCGCAGACCGGCTCCTGCGTTTGCTGGCGGCGGCAGATTTGCGGGACGCCTGCGAAGGTGGGAGCCGTTGTTGGGGGATCCGACCCCTGAATGGGCGTTTTCAACAGGAAATACGGATCCGGGTAGATTCATGTGGCGCTTCGCCCTATTATTCTCATGGTATCCATGTGTGACTGTTTCCAATCAGAGTTTGACTCCTGTTTAGACGTTTGCAACGGCCCCCTCTTCATTGATAGAACCCAGGGAGCCGCTTGGGCAGGTTTTCCGTCCCAGCGTCCCGGTAGTCGCCTATCTTGAGCATACCGGGGACAATGCAGGGGCCTGTTTTTTGGAGATAGAGGGACTAAGACCAATCTTGGAAACATGCAGAGAATCCCCGGTTTCTGGAAAATGGTTTCTTTGGGCCAGCCACTTTCTGAGAGTGCCCTTGATAAAGTGGTCATAGAGATGGGAAGCAGTTACTTTGGTACAGCTTCGGGTAACTTTCCACAACCATCAGGATTCCCCACATGTCCCTTGGGCGGCAAAAGGGGGAGGTCATAAGGCACTGGGATGGAGCGTGCGGGGTGGAAGACCGGCCATCGTCGTGGCCAAATTGAAATAAGGGACACCCTTGAATGGCGTCGTCCCTTCGGCTATGGAAAAAGGCACTCCACCTTGCCATGAAGGTTTCTCCCTTTTTTTTTTTTTACCATACAAAGGACCAACCATCTTTGGGTTCACAATTTCGAGAAACCGCCATGGTTGTCCCTATTTTCGGGCATTGTCTTTGGCGTGCAACAAGCTCGCGCTCCCATGAAGCTTTAGGCTAGGGGAACCCTTAAGTTGTGAATTGCAAATTATGTGCGGAGCCAACATGGGGGTGGGTCAAAAAGAACTACCCCCAAATGGAACTCTGGTAAATGGGAAAAAGGACTAACATCTGCAGTCCCTGCTGGTTTAATTTTGACCCATACCCGCATGAAGCTGGCACTTGCAAGCGTCCCTCAGTTTGCTGCATCATCCCAGAAGTGGGGGTCACTGGGGTCACGGATTCCTTCAATAGCGCGGTTTGCCCACAGCACAAATGAATCTATCTCAAAATGATGTTGGATGGTTTTAATGGGAAAACACCGTGCAACCAGATGGAGAGGACTCAACTTGTTTCGGACAACTCTGGCTTTGAAGTTTGGGTAATTTTCTCACACTTGCTGGAAGTATCTCCTGACCAAAAAATCCAACCCATCACCCTCCCCCTGTGGACTTTGAGGAATCAGCCACCGGGAACCTCCGTTCGCCAAGTGAATGCGTCAAAGTTTGGGTTGTCCTTTCAACCAACCCCAAAAGGGCACTGAGCCTCAAAAAATGGGAGCGCTGAGAGCACTCGAGGCTCTCTGCCGCCGAACCTGGACCGCCAGCACGACCTGCGGGTCGAGGCAAGCTTGGCAACGTGGTCGAGCCAGCAAGCCGTCTTGAAGCCAAATGGGAAGCTACCCCCGAAAGCACCTCCAAACCACCAACCCCAAACAGTGTCATGCTGGAAGACGAAGAGGGTCTCCCTCTTTGTTCAGCAAGCCAGTTGGTTTATGGTCCGTGAGGGTCAGCATTTCCTCCAAGTGCTGCACTCGGTGGACATCGCGAATCCTGTGGCGGCCGACGCACGGGTTGGCAGCTCAGACGGACCAAAGGTGTCAAGCAGGACTTGAGCTGGCTGTGCACTCAATCCTTATAATCCTTTCCCCAAGCCGGCGTTCTTTTTTGGTGGGGGTCTCTTTTTGGAAGCCAACCGCCTGCGTAACACAAACTCGGATTCAACCGCTGGAATCCGGTTGAGCTGGTGCCTCAGGCCGACGAGTCCGGCGAGGCCCGTGGGCCTGAGACGCGAACGGCCAGGAAGATGCTGAAAGCTGGCGACTCAGAGGTGGGAAAGAGGGGAAGAGGGAAAGAGGGAAAGATACATCTGTATATTTATATATATATATACAATATGTATTTATATTCGTATACATGCATACATAGGCTACCCCCCTCCCGCCACCCATGCAGAACAGGTCCTTCAGAGGCGGTTGATAGAATAGGGGTCAATTGATTCCTTAAGAAAGGCCTGAAAGGAAGTCTCATTTAAAAATCAGTTCAGAATAAGAACTCAAATTAGATTAGTTAGTTAGCGTATTTGGACAGGATTTCGTATTTAAAGTCAAGTCCGAGTAAAAATAAGATGTCCAATCTACTTGGAAAAGAGTTCCTATCTAAAAGCCAATTCAAATTTACAATTGTATTTAGATTCTAATTGAAATTCAACTTGGACAGGAATTGCTATTCAAATTCTAGTTCAAAGTAAGAATTCCAATTGAGTTCTATGAAAGCCCGACCTGAACGTAAAGCCTTACAATTTAACACTTGCAAACCGAAAGGCTGAAATTGCATGTTCCTTGAGTTTTTAAGAGGTTGTTGCCTCCGTTTAAGGGGCAGACAAATTAGCAATTAAAAACAACAACCAACTTTTCTTTCCTCACTAGATTTTGTTCAAATTCGAATTAACATCTAGTTACATTCCTGGTTGGAAAGGAATTCCTATTTAAATCAAACTCAACATAAGAATTCCAATTGAATTCTAGTGACGTCTATTGGATTTTCGCTCAATAGAAGACTGGGAACTGGATGCCTTCCCAGAAAAAAGGGTAGCTACTTCAAGCATTTGTCACATAGACCCTGGTTTTCGCTTCTTTTCCTCATGCTTTTTCGGTTTTGTCTGGTTTGGGTCTCTTCTTTTGGAGGACCCTGTTTTTAGTTTCTGTTCTGTAGCTTTTCTAGTTTCTATGTTTTGCCATCCTTTTGTTGGTTTTTTGCCTCGTTTTATGCTTTATTTGGCTTAGGGCGGGTGTGTGTGGGGGGGGTATCACACATGTATGTGTATATATGTATATATATATATATATACATACACATGTATAGAATATATATATATATATATACATATTTAGTAAATGCAATCTCTTTTAGTCAATAATAATTCCACAGTGGGAACGAGGGAATGAAGGGAATGAAGACATGATGTAATGGGTGCAGGAGCGACGGCTGCCTCCCCTTGGGCGCCTGTTCTCTTTCCTTTGACGCTCGAAGTGAAGCCCATGAAAGACCCAAGGCTGCACTCAGCATCAAGGCGTGTAACCCCAATGCACGAGGCCTTGGTTTCCCACAGATCTGGGGGTACCTTCCCCAGTCCTTCCAGGGATCCTTCTTTCTAGAAAACCTCCGGAAACTCAGGCAAAACGGCCGGAGTTTGGAAAGAGCGATGGTTGAAAAGAATGGACAAGGAATCAACCCCTAGAAGAGAGGTCAAGAAATTGCCTCACACGCTGCCATTTTGGGCCCCACACTGTCTGCAGTCTCAGGTCTGTGTGACGGACGGCGCCCAG